CCAAAGCCTTTGTTACCGCCCAGTGCTTCTGGAGCACAGCACTTCTATGGGATATCAGCACAGGAGCGATTGCTACTTCAGGTGGAAAACCTCATAAACCTCAAAAGCACAGGGGCTTTGTTCTAGCTATTACAATGCCTTGGTAAGGGGGATCTGTTTATCTTGCTGTCTGTGCACTTAGAGCGATGACCCAAGCCTTGTCAAAGGAGCCAGGGCTGACAGGAAGCACATACGCACCTCAGAGGCGGATGGTGTTTGATAGCTGGGAAGATTTCACATTCTTCAGCTCTAATCTCTTATAACAAAATGTAATTCAAACCTAACCCTCGAGAAAATAAGTCAGCTCTGCTTACTGTCATGCCATGTCCCATGTATTCATCAGTATTTGGTTTTGGTGAATTAGAGCTCTCATTTACCTATTTTCTGCTCAGTCAGCAGTGCTTTGTTTTAGCCAATATTTTCAAAAAGGTGTTTATTTTTGCTGCTAGTCTAAGATGAGCCCTGTAATTGTCTGTGAAATGGAGAAGCACTCTGAGGCAATCTTTCTGTAGCTGTGATGTTCTCTGGAGGCAAAGCTTCATGGTCACTGCTGCATGTTTTTTGAGGTGCTTTTTTCCATGTCTATTTTAAAAACAGTTGCATCATATTTCAGCTACCTCTGTCCATCACTAACATGTTTTACTGAAAATGCCTCTCATGGAAAGCACAGACTTTTTGTCTCCTAGATGGATTAAGGGAAGTAGCAGTGTTTGTGATGAGAAGTGTCATCTCTCTGCCTCAGTATTTTTAATTAATGTATGATTTGTGGCATATTTGGGGTGCAGAGGTAGGGTAACACCTTGTAGCTACTAAGCAAAGTAAATAAAATATTTTAACTTTCACAGTTTGCCATCTTTTCAAGATAAACCAGGATCACTAGAACAAAGAGATAAGCGTAACTGCCTTCCCCCTTCTTCTCCTTGTCCTCTGCTCTTTGCCACCCAAATATAACTCAGCGTGGCTGTGACCATGCTACTGTCTTCTCAGCACCCCCATCTACCTATTTCCTGCTCTCAAAGATGCTTTGCTGGCTCCTTTACCATCCTCTTTTAGGATGTAATACCTATTTAGTCCTGGGAAGACCTCAGCCCCTGCTGCAAGGTTCCCTGACATTTCTTCAGGTCCTTTCTCTTCCCTGGTTTTCCTCTGCTTCCTCTTTTTCTTTCTGTCCTTTCACCCTCTGTCTTACCATCCCAGGCCTGCTCCTGGCAGACTCATGGATCATCTCTGACATCTTTCACTCTTTGCCTTTGCTCTGCCTATTTATCCCTTGCTTCACGCAGCCTTTTACAGACCAGGCTACTCAGAATTCCACCTCTCTCAAGGGAGATAGATGCAATTATTCGGGACATCTCTTTGGTTTTAATCTCTGCTGTCTGGTTCTGGCCTTTTTTCTAAGATGGGACACTGGTCTAGATGCCTCCTGGAGTTGAAACAGTGTGGGAAATCCCTACGTTGCCTGGGGGAGTGTTTAGCAGTTGAGCTTGGAATGTGCAGTACTCCTTCAAAGTACAGGTCTGGCTCTATACAGGTTCAATCTGGTCATTCACCTGGAAGGGAAACTAGTTCAGAATGACCAGCACAATACCTTTCAAAGCTGTGGTATCCCAGGACCTCTGTTTTCTGTTTGTTTACACCTTCAGTCCTGCTCTGATCCCCCCCCAGTCATGTCTATGAGGACATCTGAAGATCTGGTGGAATTGCCACCAAGGCACTTGATGCAAACACAGTGATGTAATGGATTAAGACTATTTACAATAACTAGTTACTTGTTTTTTATTGAAGCAGATGGAAAATGCACTGATGAAAATGTTGTTTGTAAACGGATTAAGAGAAATCACAGGGCATAACTCCAGTGAAACATCTGAGAAAACGAACGAACAAAAAACCCCAACACCCTCACCCCCCAAAACCATGATGGGCATAGTACTTTTGAAGGTGAGGACAGGAGTTACAGCAAATTAATTTTCTGTGTTCAGGATCATAACTAAACTTACAAACCTCTCTGTGCATTTGTGCTGAGAGTCAGAACACCTCTGGTGGAGGTCCATGAGTAGTATGGTAGTATAATAACTGCTCAAGATTCTTGTGAGCTCCTCCTGGACACAGAAGACCTCAGTGTGTTTCTAAAAAGAGGCAGGGATGCGCTGTGCACTGCTCTCCTCTTTTGGGGCAGTGTGCAGAGGTGGTGCCTTTCCACTATGGAAATGGGCTCCTGAAAGACCCTCTTTGGAGGCAGTAATCAAAGTTCACCTCTGAGATATTCCATTTAACAGCAAAATCCAGAAAAGAAACTTGAATTTGTATTATTAATCTAACAACATCGTTATGAATATACTGCAGGAAATAATGCATCTTCCTATATAAGCAGTATAAATAAAACTTCTGATAAAGCACTTTACTACACTGAATTCCTTATTCTTCTTTGAGATCATTCCAAAATTTGCAGCTTAATCAACTTCATACGTGCTTTCAGTTGGACAAGTCAAAACTAACATGACCCTGCACAAGGGAAAGCTTCCCTCGCACGAGAAATCACATTCAGCTTATTTACTATATATGAAAACAGTCCCAGATCATTCCTTCCCTGAGGCAACAGGATCATTTCAGTGTTTCCTCAACTACCGCCAGCCTTCAACACTTCCCAGGAAGCAAGCCTTGCTCTCAGTATGGCCTCGGCTGCATGGTCATTTAAGCTGAGGTGAAGCTGTTGAAGCAAAATGACAAACCCCTCAACTTTAATGTTTGCAGCTGTAATAGAGTCACCAACTGTAAAGTATGGGGCTCTTTAACCTCTTTTTACCTCTTTTTGTATCAATTATTAAATTCACTTTTGTATATAAATCTTTGGGCCCTGCTTTGGCAAAGAGTTGAGTACAGGATTACCTCCACCTGTAGGTTAGCGTGTTTAAATTAACAAGGCTGTTTGCATGAGTTAAATAAATACATGTGTAAGCTGATATAATATTTTTAATTAAAAAGATAGCACATTGTGTTGATACAGTGCTATGTGGGTGGTAGGCATTAAAGAAAAGGCTGAGAGCAGAGTTAAGCAATTCAGGTAGTGAGTCAGATCTGCATTCAATGGGAGAAGTTTTGGGTAAGAAATAACTTTCTGGGAGCATACTTATGGCAGACCTATATAGGGTTCCTTTTAAAATCAGAGTCCTTCCACAGTCATGACAGTTCAATCAGGGCTGAAAATCATCCAAATGATTCTGGTTCTGTGCTCAGGTATGATACAGTTTCTTTAAAAACCTCAGCTTTCAGAGGGACTGGGACCACTTCTGGGATGTGGTAAATTAAATCCTTTGTTATCTACAGACAGACATGGCAGGGGTTACAGCAGTGAAAACCGCTGTTCATTTCAGACCTTGTCACTGGATACTTTCTACTTGGAGCAGGAAGGTAAAGAAGATGATGCGGAGACAGGTGTCTCCTGAGTGCTTCGGTCCAAGTACCCAGGTCCTGCTTTTGTTCCTGTTATCTTTGAATCAGGAGCAGCTGTCTGAGCAATACAAGGGCTTAGCCCTGCAAGAAACATCCACAGCTTTCTCTGGCACCAAGACAGCAAATCCTGCCTTTACTTACTTTCTATTTGTACAAAGAAAAAGCAGTAATTACGATGGAATAAACATCTAAAACATCCTCTCAACAGAGAAAACAAAAACAACCGGGGGGGAAATCTGCTGTGCAGAACTCCTTTGCTTTAACTGAACGGAGGAATAGAGACAACACACAACGGCACCGTGAGCAGAGAAATACCTTGGAGTTGAAAGTTAACAGCACACATGACAGACCATGGTGACAGCAGATGCTGAGCAAGTCAGGGAAAACTTCTGACAAGTCCCAGATTTTCTCAAGTAAGAAAGAGTCCATCTATCGTTAGCTGCCTTCTGGGTGCTGGACGGCATACCAAAGGGATTAACATTTAACCATAGCTGCTTCAGCTGTGGGGATCTGCAATATTTATGTATTTGTTTGTTTATTTTTCTATTCAGGTCTTTCTGCGGCAGATGGGAAACTGAGGTACAGAACAGTGAAGTGGCTTGTTCAAATGTCGCCTGTGGCAGGGCAGAAATAGAAGAGGAGTTGCTGAAGTCTTCTTACATCCTATGATTACTTCTGTGCTGTTTTAACAGAGGAGTTACAGTTTGTTACTTGCATATCCCTGACCTTTCTGTCTGGAATAATACATGAGTACCGTCTGTCGCTCATGTTTCCCTGATCTTTCTGTCTATGAAATGAGGTTATTTATACTACAGGTGAAAGTGCTTGCGAGGTTGATTTGCACACCCTCATTTCCCTGGAGCCTTTCATACTTGTCGGAAGTTCCAGGGTGATCAAAGGCAATGCAACAGCCAAACACTTTGCAAAGACAACGTGGTTTTGCAAGTTTGTTCCTATGGTCCTGGGCAGTTTAACCGTGAAAACAGGATATAGTATAACGGGCCACACCTGATGCACTACTTTACCCAGGTCTGTTGTCATTAATTTCATTTTTATGAATGGTGAGGAACTGGCAGCCATACACAAGGATAAACAGCCGTCACAGCAGAGATGCTTTGAACTGTTCCGTTCCTTTGGGAGAGAGATTTGAGACAGAGCCGAATCTGGAAAGCATCAGCGGTGGTGTACCCGGGAGGCGCAGATCACCCCCCCACCCCCCCAGTTTTGGACCTCTCCGTCTCTTTTTGCCCTGCTGCGGGCACCCCCGATTTCCCCGTGCTCCCTGCGGCCGGGAGGGCACCGCCGGGGTTTGATGTCTCCTTACCCCCGCCGCACATCTGCCGCGACCCGCTCACATCTGGCCGCTGCCACCGCCCCTCCTTGCCCCGCCCCGCCGCGGGGCCGCATCTGCCGGCACATCTGGGCTGGCGCGGCCCCTCCCCGCGGGCACATCTGTCGACCGCGGGGGGCGGCCCTCCGCCGGGGCGGGAGGAGCGGCGGGTCGGCGCAGCCCCGCCGCCGGCCGGGGCGGGCAGAGCCGGCGCGGCGCGCAGGGGAGAGGCGGCCCGATGGGGCGGCCGGCCGGCAGCCTGGCCCCGCTCCGGCTGCTGCTGCTCCTGGCGCTGGGGCACGCCTGGACCTACCGGGAGGAGCCACAGGACGGCGACAGGTGGGTGTCCCCAGCCGCGGACCCCCGGGCTCCCGATCCTGCTGCTTTCCCCCCATCCATCACCTTTTCTTTTTTTTCCCTTCCCTTTTCTTTCATTTTAATAACCCGACCCCCCGCCTTGCAGGGAGGTTTGCTCCGAAAACAAAATCGCCACCACCCGGTACCCCTGCCTGAAACCCACGGGCGAGCTTACCACCTGCTTCAGGTGAGCGCCGCGGCCGCGGAAGGCGACGGTGCGACGGGGGAAGCCGCGAGGTACCCCTGTGGCCATGGATCGGGAGATCGGGGCACACGCGTGGCTGTCACGAGGGGATCGGGACACACGTGTCGCTATGGACCGGGGGATCGGGATACACGCGTGGCAATGGACCAGGGGATCTGGACAAACACGTGGCCAAGGGTCAGGGTATCGGGACAGACGCGTGGTCGCCACCGGGGGATCTGGGCACACGCGTGGCAGCGGACCGGGGATCCCTGCCAGCGGGGAAGGCGCCGCAGCACCCCAGGGGAGAGCAGAGTGTTGATGTAGGTCGCAGAGACAGCAGCTGTGGCATCTGTTTGTGTGCCCCCTGCTCTGTGCTAACAGCCCCAGGCACTGCTGCCACCCCCCATGCGCTGGAGTACCGGTAACTTGGTCACATCCCTCTGGTGTCCAGCATCTCCCCTAACAAGTCCTGCTGTCGCCCCAATGAAAGGTTGTAGTAACTTGCGCATATGTCACCTCAAAGACATGGCCGGAGAGAATGTGTGTGGCTCTGATTGCGGTGTCCTGGCTGTCAGTCACTGATACAGTAAGAGAGGCTTCCTCTGTCCTGGACGCCTAGGAGTGCCCTGGAGCTGCAGCTTCATCAGTTGCAGGATAAACAGTGAGATCAATGGGATTTATGCCACCAGAAAGACATTTACTTTTAGGTAGATGAATCATTCTCTCAGAATGCATAAGTTCTTCGGCCACCAGCTCTGGGAGAGACTAAGGCAGAGGCCTCCCAAATTAAGCAAGATGAATCCAACCATCAGTTTTCATTTTTCAGCTGTGCATTTGAGAAACATCATCTGTTTATCAGAAAAATTTTAAAATGGTTATAATGATGACAACTGACCTGAACAGTTGACAGTAGTTGTACTTTTGGGGAAATACACACAACATATGAGCACACACGCATCCCTTTGCAGATGTCCCCTGATTAGTCCCATCCCCACAGACGAGATGTCTCGTTTATGAGAGCTGCCTCTTGTGAGGAGCTCTGTGGAGGCGCCTGTGCTCTCTCTGGCTTGTGTGTATGTGCCTGCGTGTGGCAGGGAGCCACTTAGATACCAAAAATACGATAAGGCACATTAACGCTTGCGAAAAGTGTTACAGAGATCATCCATTTCTTCCCAGAGTGCTTTCTGTTTGGCATAAGTACCAGAGCGCTGCAGACACACCATGCAGCAGTGTTGTCCCTCACTCATGTGCTTAGAGCTGGTTCATGCCCTCTGGGAGCCACAGCCAGCTAGGAAGTTGTCATGCTGCTGCCCAGCTCTCAGCAGTAGCGTCCTTATGAACCCTGGGAAGGGCTCTGTGGGGACTGGAGATCACCCTTCCCTGCTTCCCTTACCTTCTCTCTCCTCTCCCTGTGAAGGTGAGGCAGTGCTTGCTTATGAGCATCATGCAGCACTTTTTGGAGAGATGCAGTGTGTAGGTTTTGCAGGGAAGGAGAGTACTTGGTTAGACATGCAGCACATCTCTGGCTTGAGAGCAGAACACTGGGGTGAACAAGGTTGTGCTTTTCCCCTTTACTGAATGAAAAAGCCATAGTAGGAGCTGCATAAAGCAGCATGCACGTGGCTAGTTACTGCATGTCCCCAAACCCATCTGAGCAAATTGGGTCTGCTTTGGGCGTAACGGATAAGGACTTCACAGCCTCCACCGACTGCTGCAGGCCACCGTGCAAAGAAAACAGGACTCTGTCCAGATGCCAAGTCCCACTTGTACTTTCTTTCATCCTTGCTGAGGTATTTCTGACCTTTGGGCTCTTGTTCTGCTGAGCCTTCCCTCCCCCTCACAGCTCTCGCCCTGCACAACCCCAAGAGCTATTCACTGTCCCAGACCAGCACAGACTGTGAATGAGCATTTCCAAATCACTGCACTGCACTCTAGGTTGTTTTGGTTCGTGTTGTCAAATCTTTTCTGTATCTATGAACACTGGTCTGACTTGCTTTAACAAAGAAAAAAAAAAACATTTCTATTTAATCATGTGTTTTCCAGGCCTAACCTTTAGGGTCAAGTGAGGAGGGCTCCATTCCTCACCCTGTGAGCTATCATTTGTGATGTCCATCTCTGAAATGGAAGCATGCAGCTCAGCAGAGCAGATCTGCATGCAGGACATACCTGTCATGCTGTGTGTAGCTGTTTCTGCCATTTGAGGTGCGCCACGCTCTATCTAAGGGTTGGACTTCATGATCTTAAAGATCTTTTCCAGACTAGCTGATTCTATGATTCTATGATCATGGACCAGCAGCATCACCCATCCGTGATGGTGAACCTCATGGAAAGAGCAACATTGCCATTGCTCCTGGTCTCAAGGTGTGCTTCCAGGTAGTGTGTAGGATTAACCTTGGTGAAACACATTTTAATTTAAGATTCATTAACATGTTGAGGTTGAGGCTGTTAACAAGGTGACAGGAAACTTGCAAGTGTTGACTAATCCTGTGGTGCCTTGAGGTGCATTTTGTTTTGTAGGACATTCAGGTACATTGAGATTCAGTCTTCACATCAGAAGTAACTGCAAACATTCAGAACACTTCAGCTGAGTAGAAATTCAGCTGTGGTTTAGGGATCTTTGAGTCCAGGTTTCTAAGAAACTTGATTTTGGTGTTTTAATATAGATCCTTCCAAAATCTCATATTTTATCTTCCTGTACCTTTTTTTCACAGTAATTACAATATTTGTGAATAATATAGTCATTTAGATACATTGCTAGAGGTAGTTTAAAAGGATAGTTAATGTCAGGTGCTATTTACTATTAGCATACAGACCTGATTTTTTTTCTAGGTCTAAGTACCTTTTGTGTAGAAATTAAACAAACTGACCCAACACATCCAGCATAAGGCAACACGCACCACTAGTAATGATCTGCTGTGCAATTAGCTAAATAAAAAAATATATACCTTTGAAGTCGGATGTCAAAATTCCTGAGCAAAATTAGTTTTCCAAAGACTAAATTCTTGACTGAAAGCAATTTCATCCTTTTATTCCTCCTGATGGAATTTTTCATGAAAATCAGCATGTTTGCAAAGCACTTTAATAAAAATAGCATCTTTTCATCACAAAAAATTATTTCTTGAAAATGATTTTTAACCAGATTTACTCATGAATAAAGATAAGCCAAATGGAGAGCCAAGCCAAAAGTGGGGCCAAGCACCGAGAATATATTGGCATTTTTCCCTGTGATCATAGCAACCTTGTACACAATTAGATGCCTTTTTCCTTCTTGAATCTGTGCAGTCTGCTCCTTGGCTTAGTTTGATTCGTATTTTTTTAGATGTTTTCTGTATTTATTTTCATAAGAGTACAGAGGAACACATGCAAAAAGCAGTGGGTGCTTGTACAATTTTTTCAGTGCAAATTTCATTTGAACTTTTGTGTGTAACTCCACAAAGTACCCAGTCCCAGTGGCCTCATCATGTAGGTACAGAGAATAAATTCTGCAGATTTGTTGGTAATGTAATAGTCCAATAAGACTTTAAATTCCTACTGCATGTAACATTAATCCAATTTCATGAAATTTGGGCAGCATGAGACTGTGACGCCCCCGTCACATTGCTGTCTTCTCCTACTATTTGAATGCAATGCTAATCTGTGTCATGCTCAAATAGATTTTGAAACAATCTGCTGGCATGTTATACTACATGAATGTTGCTGCAGTTTTTCCTCAGTGCTTCTGTTTGTTATCACTCGCATGTGACAATTCAGTTTGTACATTTTAGCAGCAGTCCTTCATTCATTTCCATTTTAAACAATGCTACCAGACAATATTCCTGTGGTCCAGAAAGAAGAGAAGCATCTGGAATAGACATCTCCTTGCTTCATCCTGATCATGTAGCTATGTTCCCATAGGAGACAATAGCGGCTATGTCACTTCCAAGTTCAGGAGCCTCAACATGTAATCTGGTACATTTATTGACTGGAGTTGCTCCCTTTCTAAAACCAGCAAAATTTGATCACCTTATTACCTTCTGTATATTAAGACAGCTAAGTATTATTTTCCATTACAATTTGGAGAGTGGAGTGAAAATCATTAAAAAGATGATACAAAGACTTAACAGAAACATTTGCTAGTGGGAAGCTTTTGGCTTCACCAGTTGTAGAAAGATTCAAGCATGAAACAGATGGGAAAATGAGAATATTTGTATCCCCTGACTGTGAGAATCTCTTTGTCTACTAGAAACTTAAATATTGTAAATTGACTTGAAAAAAAAAAGGTTTGCTCCTTTTCAGGATTCTTTTGTAATATTTTTATAAATTTGAACCTGGGTCTGTGCAGCCTGGAAGAAAACTTTAGCCATCGCCTTCATGGGCAAAGAGAAAGGGTTTTATTCTTTTATTCAGGTGAAACTATTAGTCTAATTCCCACTCAACTTGAAAAAAAAATATTACTAGATTAGTTGATGAAACTGATTTTTTTTAAACAAATACACTGTTGACCTGGTGAGAGAAACTATCCATCTTTCTCTGACATCACAGTGAGAATTCTTCCTTTCCTGCATTTTTTACTGAAAGTGAAGTGTAAACGTTCCTTAAGGAATATATTATACCCTGATTCTGTGCCTGTAGTGATAGGGGCTACTCCTGCTTCTTCCTTCTGCAGGACCAGCAGGGAATAGGAGGTTTAGAATAAGAGTGCTTGGCAGAACAGTCCTATCTAATGATGATAAAATCTTTGTAAAGATGAAGCAAATCTTTGAAAGTTATATCTGCAAATAAGGCCCATGGTGTGAGGCTTAAATCTTGGCTTAAAACTTAATCAGTAACTTTCCCTTGGTAGTATTTCACAAATAAGAGGTCTTTTAAATAGGATTAATACATTTTAGTATAGATTGATAGCTTCTTCATCTGGTAATTACCAGCTACAGGTATTTTACAGAGGCCCTCCCTATGCTTCAGGTTTTAAATTTTGCTGTGAGGAATTGCTCTACACTTCCTAATCGAAAGACAATTCAAAT